CGGGCGGCGCCTTTCTCCTGCTCCTCTCAGATGAATTAGCTAACTAAGCCCTCCACCCCCTCCTCCCACCCCCAGCCGACTAGATAAGTAACGTCGGGGACAGAAGCAATATAATGATTGCGATCGTATCGCAACGCAACACACTGACTGAATTCGTGTCAATTTTGTTCTATCCTCATGGAGAAACTTGTTTTCTGTTTCGTGGACAAGACATTTGTCCCAGCGAGTGGACGTTTAAATCCGTCCCCTTTTTCGCAACAAATTTGTTTCCAAGGAGGGGACAATTTGTTCAGGGAACATTTTGTCCCTTCCAATGACACAATTTGTATTTAAAATGACACGTTTTTGTCCATAGATATCTTGTCTGCGGCTATGGACAGACATTTTGTTGCTAGTTGAAGGTACAAAAAAAAGTTCCTTTACATTTAGAGTATACAAATCACTTTTTTGCACACTTCTCTGCGTTGATTGGAACACGTTTGTGCATTCATTTGGTGCATGCAACAACTTTTGGGCACAAATTTATTTAAACTGAACGTAGCTTAATCTTCGGACGAATGTCTGCACAAAAACAAACGAGTGCATTTAGCGCGAATGCAGCGCCTCTGTAAAGACTTCACACTCCCATCTATCTCTAAGGGGTGCTAATGATGTTATTGCCTTTGCAGAGGCACACGGACTAAATCGCCCCCCACCAAGTCGCCCTTAAACAACGTCCCAAAGATGCGACATTCCCCCTTCAAAGCTCCAAAGTAAAGTCCGGAAAAATTCGCAACCCTTTTAGAGGCACCAATTCCTACTTTGGTTTTTGCCCAGTGTTCACCGATCAACCATAAATAGGTTTCAAGAGGTGTAACAACTACCTGTAAGTGCGCAACATCCAGTCAAACACTCGCAAGTTATTTACGGGCTGAACATTCGGCTTATCGGTGTATTCCGTCGCCTCTTCCCCGTTTTTTTTTGTGTGCGATGTTGGGAGGGTGCGATACTGTGTCTGAATGGCGCATTCCTTACCCCCGACGTAGTATTACGGTTTGTTCGAGTGTTTCGCTCTCGACATTTTTTTAATTTATTTTTTTGTCGTCTAGACGACTCGGGAATAAAAAGAAAGCAATAGAACGATGAGGCATTGTATGTTTGCTCAGATGTCTCAAACGGTGGTGTGGGGCGGGGCGAAACTGTGGCGGCTTCCCATCAGGCACACAAAACTTCTCACAAGTTCGCAGAGAGTGGCCGACACCGACAAAGGGGAAGCGCGTGAGTCGTGCAAAGTCGTGTAGCGGACCTGTCCCAGCGAGGAATGACATTTTGAACGAAATTGTTCAGATGTCAAAACGACAAGTGTCGCTCCTACAGGGTGGTCCACAGACCCCTTCCTTTATTTTGCCTATACTGTGTCGCATGCAGGCGTGCGGGTGGGCTTGCCTACCGTCGCTCCCCACGACGCCTTATGGCCCCGTGCGAGTGTGCAACCCGCCCGCACGCCTGCATCCGGTACAGTATAAGCAAAATAAAGGGAATGGGTCTGTGGACCACCCTGTACCGGGCATAACTGTGAATGCGCACCAGTGTTGCGGGAATGCATACCCGCCAGGGCTGCAGGGGCCATGGCGCCTTACGGGCGAATTGGGTAGGCAAACCCGCAACACTGCTGCGCATTCACAGTTACACCCGGTACATCGAAACGAACCGTGAGACGACGAATGCGATGTCGTTCTGGCTGTGTATTTTCTCTGAAAATTCCCTTTGATGGAAGCAATTGTTCAATGCCATCGTTTTGTTCGGTTCGTGTACCTGCGGTGTCCCTGTCCTGAAAACGCTCACTCGCCGGTGTCCGCGGTGAGAATACGCGGCAGTTTGACGGGTTGCCTACGCGCTGGCGTGCAGGCGCGGAGGGCGAGAGGGAGCGGGGTGGAGGTGGCCGAGCTGCCGTGTATTCTCCCGGAAACCGGTCTTTGCCCATCATTCTAGTAACTCCGACGCGAACACTTTGTTCTCTCTGCTCTCACGCGCCCCCGTACCTTGCCACTCGATGGGGGTCCTGTGCACCATGGTGCCGGTTGGCGGTGGCGGCGGCGGCGGTGTTGGTGCTGACGCTGACGGGGTGCTCGCTGAGGGTGGCGGGGGAGGGCTCTGCTCGGCGCACGGGGGGGACGGCGACTGGTCCAGCCCGCGATCAGTTGTCGATAAAGTCTCCTCGGGTTGGGGGCAGCCGGTGTCCGCGCGCGGGGTGTGGAAGGGGGGGGGGGGTACCAGGGGTCAGGTGATGTCGCCGCCAGTCGCGCTGAGTCCTCGCGGTCCTGCAGATTGCCGCCGTTTGTTTTCGACTCATTCGGGTACCGTCGGGTACCCGGCCCGCCGCGTTCGGATCGCTTCGGGCACGCGCCCCTCGGCCAAGGCACGCACCCGGTTCACGTCTCTTTTTTTTATACTCGCTTTTTGTTTGTTTGTTATCGACAGTCTAATTACTCAAGGTGTGGCGATGGGTGTGGCCGAGCGATCAACAGGCCGTTAAGGGCGTCGCGGCGACCGCCGAGGCGTCCGCGCGAGCGAGCGAGCAAAAAGAGCGAGAGAAATAAGAACCCGTAATTGAATTGATCGAGATATGGGCCGTAGAAAGTCATCATGTTGCGTGTTTTGTTCACGTGATCTTCCCAGTGGAGCTCGTGTCCACAACAACAATTTTGTGCCGTATAACTGGACCCCAACTGGAGGTTTTTTCCTGTTTTTTTTTTTTTATTGTTTTTAAATTTTCATCTCACAAACATTAAGACTCAAACTATATTGTTAGGGAAATAAAAATGAAAAACATTGGAGTGTCCGACATTGCGTAACTCGCAATTGAAATGGCGTGATATTTCGACGGAGAAATTGAAAGAAGATGCTTTCGGACCAATCCCAGCCATTTCCAGCTATTTTCAATTTTTTTGATTTTTGACAAAATTTGCAAAAGGCTATAAATTGATGGGTCCGGTTTTCGACGGAGGAGTATTCGAATCGACGGGGGAACCAGGGACCACAAAACTACGTTTTCTTCTGTCAGAAACCACCCCTGTCCACAGAAACTTGAGTTTTAAGAGCTGGTCTCTAATGGGGTAGGATTCAATAAAGGCACACTGGCTAAGAACTCTGCTGTATGGTGGGTCGGCACTATGATGTTGGACAGAGCGAGTGAGAGGGGAGTCTGCCCGACCAATCCAAACCAATTCCAGCAATTTTCCCAATTTCCAAGATTTTTAAAAGACATTTTCAATGATAACCGCTGGTCACGGAACTGTGCGTGGTAAGAGTGATTCTTTCCTGGGGTAGGCAATCCCGCCTCGCTTGTCCGGGATGTGATCCGTTGGGGATGCCTCCCGTCCCGTCAGAATAATAAACTATCATGGGCGATTTGCTATTAATGATAAATGTATTTGGTGATTTTTTTGAAAGATGCACCAGCCCGGGTACACGACGTTTGGAGCCGAATCGTATTTGTCGTGGGAGTGTCATCGGCGTGCGCGGGGGGTCCCCGATGACGTCCCCGGGGGCCCGGAAGACCTCGGCACTACCAGATGAGTGACTCATGAGTCCGCTGATCAGCGTGCGAGAAAACCCCCTCACACGAAATTTCAGTCGTCCTGGTCGTTCCGAGCGTTCCGAGGTCGAGAGGTTGACGGTCGAGAGGTCGGCCTAACCGTATCTTATTTTGACAATCCCCAGCCCACTCTTACCACGGACAGTTCGGTACTTGGTCCTACCCTACAAAACAAAAAGAGGCGAAGAAAAAAAGTTTTGCGCCGGCCGGGTGTCGATCCCCGGACCGTCAGCTCCGGTCCGCCGACGTCTCTGCCCGCTTGGCTACATGCTGACAACTCTCTTGCTGAAAGTGGGACTCAGCCCATGCTGCGCGCGAAGTTCTTGAGAGCAGGGACTCGGACGCTTTCAAAGTGTGGACAATACGAATACGTAAAGCTACGCAGGGACAGCTACTATAACACTAGAACACTCGTCTTTCGAGGCGATGGCGCCATCCAACAGACTCTTCTCTGCGCTCTATTTCCGCCTCCGCTCCTCCCCTCCCAACACCAATCAGGCTCAACAACCCTGCCAGATGTAAATCCCACACATACGTTTCGTATCGAGTCTGTTGGGTCTTATCAAAGTAACTTGTTATCTGTTAAAAAAACAAAAAAACACATACATCGTTTTTGAAACATGCCTCATAGAAGCATTAGCTGAAAGTTCGTGGTTCACCTGAAACCGAAAGGGAATTTGTCGGAGACACACGTCACACGTCTTCCCTTCCCTTCCCGCTCCAGCTATCCAGTAAAACTTTATCGACGTTTGGGCCAGCTGTTGCGTAGGGAATACTTCAAAAAACTCGTGATGGCTAATGTTGACAGTATCTTAAACTTTGATCCTAAAACTGAAGACGACTTCTATGCCATCCTTGGCTGCGATGAGAACTCAACTGTGAGTTCCTTCTAATCATCCAGATCTCCATGGCTGCAGTTTCTTGTTCCAAGGCCACTGGATATTCTAGGCCATACCTTCTCTAAATTTGACTTTTTTGCCCCCTTTAGCCCGAGCAAATAAATGCTGAGTACAAGGTACGCGCACTCCTGCTGCACCCGGATAAAAATGCTGGAGACAAAGAAGCAGAAGCAAAATTTCAAAAGCTGCAGGTACACCTAAAAATATATTTTATTGTCAAGTCAGGGAAGATTCATGGAGAAATTTCCAAACAAAGTTCAATAGATGTGAAACTTAGTGTTGAATTAATGGGTGATTTTATTTTCTTCAAGATGGCTAAGGAGACGCTTCTTGACCATGAAAAGAGAAGTAATTATGACAAGTGGCGTCACTGCGGAATGTCTGTGAGCTACCAGCAGTGGCTTGGAGTCAAAGAACATGTTCATCAGGTAATCATTTGAAATACTTGTGAAATTTGAATTCACAAAAATGATTCTTACCTTTCTTAAAATTTGTTTTCAGTCGATGCACTGGTCTACTTTGAAAACAAAGGACCGAATGCTGCCAGGAAATTCTTCTGAGGCGAGTGGTGCAAAACCTGCTGATTTGCCTCCAGCTGCATTGCGTCGTGCCTCTGAGGGAGGTGCAAATATTCAGTGGGGTCCAAAAGGTACTCTCCCATGGAACTCGAAACCTCCAAGTGATGTTGTGAGCAAGTTCCGTAACTATGAAATTTAATCTGCAGCTTCATATCATACTTTCCATTGACTTGCAATACCCTACTCTTTTTTTTTTTTTAAATTGATGTTTCTTGCTTATGTATTGATTGTTATTGATTTTTAACAATTTCTCATAATGGACTTAAATTGATCCTCCAAGTTGTGGCAGGAACATCGTAAAATGAATGAAAGATATCCAAAAAGATGTACAGCATTTGGAAGTGTTGAGTGACAATTCCAGACTTGTGCAATGAATTTAGTTGTAAATTTTAATGATAAGAGCTTTCGCTTTGTTGAAAGTGACTAGTACCTGCTATTTTAGAGTATTGTGTGATTTTTATTTAAGTTTTCCTCTTCCTACTAGCACTGTTTTCATTCCCATGTCCTGTGATACACTCTGACCCCTATCCCCACTAATCATATTTTAATTATAATATACAACTCTATTTTCTGTGATAAGGAGTATTTTTTCTTCATTAATTTGCTCATTTATATTTTTACCTCAATCTTTCTCAGCTCAGTCAAGGTTTGATAATGCACTTCCCCTCTCGAGTACCTGGTAGTCATTCTTGAGTCTGTGTGTTTTAGATGCCAAATTGAGAAAATGTGATCAAGCATATCGATGGACTAATAAAACATTGTAGTGTGAAACAGTCAAACTTGAAATGTATGAACATTGCTTTCAGATGTTTGGCTGACAACAGAGGAAATGTCAATAAATAGAGAGCAACACTTCCTTTCTCATTTCACCTCTCATTCCCACTTCACAAAATTAATACTGCAATGATCTTAATCAGCTTTGTGGCAAGACACTTTATTCAAAGAGCTATTTTCACTAGGATCCAGCACCTACTTTGTAAAAGTTGTTTATGAAAAATTGATATCAAATACAAAACTAAACTTAAAACCCGCACTCCCATTCAATCAATTCATTCACCAATCAAAGTTAATCATACAGTGAGCAAAGAACTGCATTGGAGAAAGCAACGTACTTGACACACTTGAAGCAAGAAAATCATGTCCACATATTGGTCACGCAGCATTGAGTGTTAAACTAGTGCATACACTCAAATATTGTTACTACCACCCTGTAGTAAGCTTCATTCCCACACATTTGTAACATTAAATGTTGTAGACTAGCAACGCTAGTGAAATTTTAATACATTGGCAGAATTCTATGTGGTTACAATATTATTTAACTTTAATGAGTGTTAGTTGAAAATTCACATTTCAGTCAAGTTACTGGAGTAAAAGAATATGAAAATTCGAAGCAATTATGTAGCTTTCCTTCATTTAAAATTTCAGATACAAGGCACATTAAAACTAGCTTTGTAATGTCAGGCATAAGAAGACCTCAAAGGCAAGACATTTACCAAAGTCAGTGTGCGGGAATGGCAGGATACAGCGCAAACGCACTTAAGTTGTGTCTAGCATTTATTAGGACAGTCCTTGGTCAAGCCATTGTTTATTGTACTTCCATAATTTTATATTTTTTTTAAAAAGAAACCGTTTCAAAATAATTCAACTTCTACAGAAGCTGATAACAATATGGTGTTACAGTCCCAGTTCAGAGGATCCATTTGCCCTATGCCTTATCAGTCCAGCACAATCTCATTGACAATGTTTCCAGACAAACCAAAGTATATTTACTTAGCTACCAGAACAGGCACATACATGTAAAAAAGAAATCTTTAAAAATTTATGCTATCTAGGAAGTAAAAACCCTTAAATATACAGAGACTTGGAACTGGCAACATTCTCAATGTGAATTACATAATTACAACCTAGTTAGTTGGAAACATTGAGAGACCCTATCTGACAAACCAGATAGATTTCAGCAAAATTTCAATTGGCAAAGACCTCCAGCAATGACTTGAAAGCCATCCCTTGCCTGTAGATGCTCAGACATACCCATAATGAATTACTTGTCCAAGGCAGTATTGGTTTTGATAGCAATCACACACTCCTCACCACAGGACTTGAGGACGGTGCACTGAAAATTACAAACAAATGATAAATTTCAGATGGAACAACACTGAAAGAAAGCAAAAAAAGGGAGACAAGAGAAATTACACTAGACAATATTTAATGATCTTACCAGGAGTTCTTTGCCGGTGTCATATTCAGCTTTCAGCTGCTGACCCAAATCACCGTCAGGGACTTTCAAATCTTCTCTAAGATCACCATTGTCACCCATCAGGCAAAGGTAACCATCATCAGAGATGTCTGTCAACTGGAAAGAATGGGATTGAATTTTAGAGCTTTTACTTTAAGAGTGAATTAATATAAAAGAATAATTAAATTAATTTAGAGATAAGAAATTTACATTTTAGAATATTAATTGATTTTAAATTAAATTGAAGTTACCTGGTAATCTTCACGCTTCACGTGGGGGACATCCATGTTGTGGGTGGAGGGGCAGATATCTTCATACTTCTTACCAGAGAAAATATCAATACCAACCATGTGCACTTTAGCGTGACCGTGTTTGCCGGTTTTGGATGTCGACATTTCAACAATTTTGCATGGACGAGCCTAAGAAGCAAACATAAATATTAGTAAGACCAATAATACACTGACAAAAATCAAAATAAAAAATACAACGCACCTTCAGCATGACGAATCCGTTCTTACGCAGGGCAGAACATTGCATAGGGTATGTGGCTGAGGCACCAGAGTCGCCAGTCTCGAAGTGGGTGTCTTCAATTTCTGCCATTTTTGTTTTGTGAAGTTGTGCTTCGGTTCCTCAAAAACTGAACAGAGATAAAAACACAAAATGAAAAATACAACAAGGCAAATCCCGGGCAAGACAAAAAAAAAGGGGGAAAAATTAGCATGGGTCATACATATGTGGCCTGGTTCTGATCAAGAGTCCACATGCCATGCTAATCAGCTGCCTAGCACCCTAACCTGGTGTTTCAACAGCGCTAAAAGTGAACAAAACGCCCCTAGAACACAGCTGAGTCCAGCTGGGCTCCGGCCCGCCCATGTCCTACATGCCGTACCTTGGCGTGGACCAGCGCGGCCCGCGGCCCGACGGGCCACCCACAAGATACCCCGGGGATCCCGATAACCGGAGCCCAGATCAACGCCGTGCCGGAGGGCGCAGCGCAGCGCGGCAACAGAAGGGCACAACTGCGGCCGAGGGCGCGAGCGAGGGCGAGGGTGCGGCACGGCGTCGGAACCGAATACCTGCCCTGTCACCCATTCCTAGGACCACCGCCATCGGGGACGAGACCTGACGACCATAACCTAGCCTGCTATCGCCAGAACCACCTCATTGCACCTTTCTGACCTTCCCAAACAGTCGGGCCGCAAACAAAAACTGGTCCAATTTCGAAAAATTAAGAAACATGTACGTGTGTAAAAATTTGCATGAGTTGCCCATTTGAACTGGTGAATGGCAAGGAGCCTGCCACATGGCGAAATGAGGGTTCAAATCGACCTGACCAACACCTATTCAGTCAGCTCGGACAACCGTACAAGTTTAAGTTGGGTCATTGCAGGGTATCCAGGTGTTAAACGGCGGCCAGTGCTCCGCACTCGGACAGCGTAAGCCCACTTGTGCGCAAAATTGGCCGAAAATCGCGTACATGGCTGGCGGGAAACAGGCCTTTCACTCACTACCTTACTTGCGTCAAACAAACCGGTTTCTGTTTGAAACCGAGGACTGTGAGCTATTGAAGAGGGGTTTCCGCTACAATCCAGAAGTTTGCAACTCGAGCAATCACCGAGACACTCCACACGGGGTCACGCACCCTCAGATCGCGTTAAAATGTTGAACAAAGAACAGCACCAGTACTCACATGTGCCCGCTGAACGGATCTCTCGACTAGAGGATCTTCAGGAGCAGCACCAAGCAGCAGGCGGGCAGGCTGACCACGTTACCACACGTTGGTGAGCGCTTGGAAAATGGAGGACCTCCGGAACTCCGGTGGGAACCTTTTTGGCGCGTGCTCCAAGGCGGTTGGTGGTGGACGTGGCGCCAACGGTTTGAAAGTCTCCGCTGACATTGCCCTTTCTCAAGTGGTCTCATTCTGGGCTTTAAGGCTCTCGGGTACTGACAAAACTTGCAATCCTTCTCAGGAGAGAGTATTATAATTAGATTAGAATAGTTGCGAATCCAAAAATGTCACCAATGAAGTAATTACGAGTCAATTGAGTAATGTTTGCTGAACGTTCACGAGTAGACCCGCGTGAGAGGACCAGCTGAATGTTTATTTAGGGTGGAAAGGGCAAATAGCGATAGTCCCCTCGTCCGCAGAGAAGGCCTCTGTCCAATGCAGATATTTGAGTTTACTTTTTGTATTTACTTGAGTGTAAGAGCAAGGATATGAATAGTTTGTTGTTGATTTTAAAGTATGCAATATAAAATTAAATATAATTATTTATACAACAAATTCAAAACAGATCAGTACATTAAATCTTCAAACTCCACATGGAAAGAACAATCCATCACATTGACATATTTTACCATTTCACAAAAATGCCACTCATACAACACAAGTACTTTGCTCATTATTTTTTTTTTTCAACTCTTCATCTCTTCAGACTAGTTTGACTACAAAATACCACAAGCAAAGTGTAAAACTAAAAAGACTGATAGATGAGCTCCAGGTATTAGTGAAGTATATTGAGAAATTTTGATTTGGTTGAAGCACAATTTTAAGAACTTAATCAAACAGCCTAGAGCATAACATTTAAACAAGTGGTGAGGTGTTTAATGGAAATAACATAATAATTTCACTTTTTGTCTACTAAATCTAGATAGTCCTTCCCCAGAATCAATAACCCAACGCTGGTTGCAACTCCTGTAGCAGTTTGGATGACAGCATTGTCGGGGAGGTAGTACCTCAATATTGACCAAACCAGGATAGAACTCAAGCTCAACATTCCAGCGCCATATACACTGCAACAAAACAAAACAATTCACCAAATAAACCAACAATTGTAGCAACATTAGTCGGTGCAACAACCGAAGACAAGAAACGAATAGCCCAAAATCAAGAGAGTAAATGGAATTCCCTTGCGAAGCTTTCGTGTTCAAAACCTTACCTGTATGTAATTCTACGCTGGTTCGAGACTTTCTCCATATGAGGACGCTTGTAAATGTAAAGCGCAGTCCCTGCAATGGATGTGAGCAGTAGGGCGTTTGTAATGTCTCTGGTGGGGAACAACCTGGAAAGATCCAAACATACATAAATTAGCAGTGTAGAATAACAAGAATATCTCCAACAAATTGCACAGGATCAGAAAATAGATCAGAAACAATTATTGCGTCTGAGATAAACAGCCTAGGTTAGAGGTCACTAAACGGGGGAGCTAACCTTCTCAACATATTCGGATTCGACAGGCTGACAGACAAAGTGGTGTAGCTTGCCGCACCGGCCATCGGGGCATAGTGGTAAAGAAGGTTTTCTTGTGTCAGTGGCTTCAAGGTGACGCCGTCCAGGAGACTCTTGGGTTTCCCTGGAGCTGCCATGGCCGAGAACTTTGCTTCTGCAGTTCTACAGTTTTGATCAGAAATTCGTCTGGATCCGTTCCGTGTTGTTCCGGGACGTCTCGGCGAAAGTGTATCCGGTTATTGTGAGATCTTCTTTTGTCTCTACCGGAAGTTTTTATAGTGTACCAAGCAGTGAAAAAAAAAACCTCTGGTTCGACCCTACTTTGAGACCTGGCAGCAGTTGTAAACCAAGATCAAATCTAATGAAATTATAGCAATGATTTCAAATAAACTAAATTGATCCCAATCAGTTCTTGAACTCCTATGTGCAATTGGTCGTTTGCGTCCTAAGGCTGCATCATTGCGCAGACGATTTCAATCCGAATATGTGACTCGGTGTCGTCTGCCATCCGATGTTATTCGCGATTCACATTCACGTCACTCTTGTCCTGTCTTTCTTGGGGTGTTTTTTGGTGAAACCTCTCGGCTAATGACAGTTATTTGTGTGTTTTCTGCATTTATGCTATGTACGTGTGAAGTTAGACGATATCTGTTTGATCTCAGCCGCATTTATTCTCAAAACAATAGTGTCCTCATTCATGTTGCAATTGTTTTCATTCATTTCCTGTTTCTTTAGGTTAGACTGACAGGCAGACGTCCTGTTCGACGTCCAGATATATCTGTCAGAGCACAACATGGCCTATTTGGTCAGAAATGATATTGTGCAGTATGCATGCACATGTGGCCAGCTGAGGCCCATCTCCTTTTTGTACTTTTGCAGACATTGCCTGAAACTGAGGTGTGGCTTCTGCGTTTGTCATGAGGTATGTTAAGCAGTTTGGCCTACAAACTCTTTGAAATCTCTGTTTTTTGGCCTTAACATGTAGCACATTTTTCTCAGGTTGAATCACACTACTGCTCCAACTGCCTTGAAATCTTGCCATCAGCAGAGGCAAGGTTGAAGAAAAACAGGTACTGTGAAATCTAGTTTCTGATGTGTACATTATTCTGTTTCTGTTCTAATTGCTTTGTTACATTTGTTGTTTGTAGGTGTCAGGCATGCTTTGATTGTCCAAACTGTTTAAATACGTTAGCTGTTAGGGGAACTACTGTGTCAGTCAGGGATCCTGATGACCCAGGCAAAGTCAATTCTCAAAAGAAGTACTATCATGCATGTTTCTTTTGCCGCTGGACAACTAGAGATGTAGGCTTACCAGATCAAGCTGTGCAGACTGTGTGTGAGTTATATGAACAACCAAAGGTAGCCTGTAAACAATTTCTGGTCCTTACCGATAAAAAGTATACAAAATGTGATCCCTGTTTCAGCTGCCAATGGGTGGGCTCAAAAGAACACCAGCAATGTACAACGTATTACTGTTCTCTTGGAGCATGCTAAATTGTTGGGAATGCTAGAAAGACATGAACGAGAGCAACGGGAAAAAAAGTTCACTGCAAGGTTTAGACGCAATTTCACCCATCTTCCTGTAAGAAACACATCTGTTCTGTTATGATTGATATTCACATATTACATATTTGCTCACTGTTGCTTAATTTTCTGAAGGGTTTAACTGCAGCTCATGTTCGGAAGCGTGCAGGACTTCCCCCTGAATTGCCCGCTCCATCAACCATTAAGGTAAATCTTGCTGAATTTCAACCTGCAGTTGCTAAAGAAACAGTGCCGGAGCTTCCAACAGATATTTTTACCAAGGAGCTAGATATAGGCACAGGTATGTCAAAAACTGAGCAAAATTTAGCCCCAAAATTGTTTTGTGTGTTTTGACAATTTATGCATCTGTTCCTTTTGCAGTTACAACTTTGACTCAACGCTTTGCTCAGCCTGAAACCCAGCCGGACAGTATTGAGGGGTTACTCCCTTCATACAAGCATCTGAGCACCAAACAATCCCAGAGGTGTAGAGAGTGTGAACATAATGTCAGCAAACCAGAGCTAAATCCGGCTTCCATCAAATTCAAGATTCAGCAGGCTGCTTAGTTAGTTTACTGAATTTTTCTGTTTTTTGGTTACACATTCTCTGTAGGGTTTTCAGGCTCTAATATTGGCCTTTCTTTTTCTAGCTTCTATGTGCCAGAGGTTCGCATTGTAACTCTTGAGCCTCTGATTGGTGGGAAACCAAGTGAAGTGGTGATTGTATTCATCAACCCTTCTCAGCACCCAACGACCCTGAGCTTCATCACTCTACAGGAGGCCGAAGAAGAAATAAAGCAGCACCAAACTGAGGGTACCACCGACACTGCTGTGCAACAGGTACTGTTAAGTTCTTCCTCAAATTCTCCAGAATCATTCTATGGCACGTATAGCATAACTTCTGTGTGTGTTTAGGGAGAAGCTCCATTATCCCTCTCATCATTGACCAAACCTGTGACCGTGGTCGAGGAGCCACGGCCCATCGATATCTCTATGACAGGTGAAGTTCAGTTACCTGCTGCTGACGTCGAAATAGTCCTCCCTCCCAAAGATGATGCAGCTGAGTATGATGACTCTGGAGAAATACAGCAGTTCCATGATGATCCAAAGTATGTGGAAGACCATATTATTTTTTTCAAAAATTTGAAACAAATAAATCTAATTTAAATTTTGTCTTTTTTGCAGGATTGTCATTCATCGAAGAGCCAACAAAGCATCACTTCGTTTCACTGTTGTCCCTAAAACAGACATTGCTGGAGAAAACTGTGTGATAGGCTTTGCATTTCGTTATACATATGTGAACCGCATTTCAACGCCAGCTATTGCAACTTCCGAGCAGAAACCTCAAAAGGTTCAGCTTTGTACCAGAATATTTATGAATTGTGGCAAAATACTAGAGGGTACCCAGTGATTGCATGTAATTCCCTTAATCAACACTTGTATAAATTTTTATATTTATGAAATTCACCTGCTGTTTTAATTTTGTAACATTTTACTGATTCTGAAATATTTTTATTTTTGCTTTGAGTTCCAAGGTTTTCTTGTACTTCTAAACAAAAACTAATAAATGTTACCTTATGCATATTCGTACCTTGATATCGTTTCTATTCTCCCTCGCCCAACATTTCCTCTTGTTTCCCAGCGCGAGCTGTTTACCGCCGGCAGTGCAAGCGGCCAGGTGCGCCAGTATTCCTCAGAATCAAAAACAATCATAAAAATGAATCATACACCGATACCCGTGCCAAAAATAATAATAATCACAACTCCTCTTTCTGTCCCCGGTCGGTCGGAGGCAAAATAGTTTCCCGCAGACGTCAGAGGCGGCGCTTCCACAGAAACTCGTTTGGGAGGCTACAAAACGTACAAAAATCCCCCTGAAAGCCGTGCTCGCCGACTGCTTCGTGCGTACGCGTGTGCGTGCCTGCAGCCTCCCGTCCCCGCTGGAGGTGAGTGAGTGGCGCCTCTCGCTCGCCTCCCATCTCTCTCGCACTTCGAAAGCTCATCGCGGACCTCACGGGAGCTCTCCGACGAGCCGGCAGGGAAAACACATAGTCAAGACAGCGGTTTTAATGTCCATCTGACGGAGAGGGTGAATTCCTGTGGGTTGCCTATTTTCAGGGGCTTTGTAGGACAAATTGGCTACATACCCGGGGGGGGGGGGGCGACCCTCCCCCCATAAAAACCGCGCCTAAGTCAAGATAAGGCAATTTTTTCTCTGAAGACGCCCCTCCCCATGTTTGTTATCTGAGCAGACTAAATTTTTACTCAAAAAGGTCAAATGACATAAATTGTACATAATTTAGACGGTAGCGGTTCTCCTCGCATCGGCCACGCACCCCCTTGCCTGCCTGGCTCGGGTCCAAAAGCGAGTACGGATGCAGCGACGCGGCAATAGGGATAATCTGGAGGGGCCACCGGAATCGCGTCCATCCACATCCAGCACATTCAGTCTGAGCGAAACGTGCAGATGCGCTGGGGGTAAAGGGGGGCGGGGTAGGCGGTTGGTCCGACTCGGAGCAGATTACGCAGAGAGATACAACGCGCAGTCTTTGACCCACCGCCGTTTGGGTCGAGATACTTGAACCCGCATCGCGTCGACCGACCATTTGGGACGTGATGCTTTCCCTGGTCATCCCAGCAGATGCGCGATGGGCGCCGCGCCACCCCGCCGCTGCTCCGGTCATTCCCTTGAGCCGCGCTAGCCACCTCACTCAGTGGCTGATGGAAGCACGCGCGCTGTATTGACGGACGGAGATGGCGTCAAAGGATGCCCCCGTCTGCCCCAAACCTGCCATTTTTAATAAGAAAATACCACGTGTTGAGGTATATTTTCGCCGGCGGGGATTCACAACACACCTATGATGACGTGTGTAAAGTGTGGTGGTGATCGCCAACACGTGAGCGCGGTGGTGCGAGCTTCCCCCCCACTCCACTGCTCTCGGTGCGGGAGAGGGCGGGAGAGACAGAGAAAGAGTGAGAGAGGGGAGAAGAGCGAGAGAGAGAGGGGGAGGGGAGAAGAGGCGCTGGGAGCAGCGACGAGCAGACTCTTGTTTATACGACCACATTTCTCCGCCTGACCGGTAGAACGGACCCGGAGCTTTCAGCAGGAGGGTGGATATCTGCGGTGCGCGTCGCAACTCTGCTTGAGCCTTTCACGTTGGTCGTCGCCGTCGTCTCGTTGATCACCAAGCGTGTGTAGCTCTCCCTCGACATCATGACGCTCAAGATGCAGGTCGTGGCAGCGCTTCTCTTCGTCGTCGCCCTCGGTGAGTCGCTCGACGCCGTTGACGACCAGCCCGCCGCCGTGCGCCGGAGGCCCAGTTGGCTCGCTGTTGTTGTTGAACGGGACAGCCGGGGACACCTGACTCAAATTTGCATAGATATGTACTGAAGACGACCTCCCCCTACACCGAGCGGCGCCAACTGTTTCCTGTTTATTTTCCCGTGCGTTCCCCCATTTGGACCCGGTTACAAATGGAAATAAATAAAAAGTGTGGGCTCGATGCCGTGACCAGGATTCGAACCTGGGTTATCGCGGCCACAACGCGAGGTACTAACCACTATACGATCACGGCTGAGAGCCCTTCGTGCTGGGGGTGGCGTCGGGCGGCGGCGCAGTGCTAGACGCGGCCAGGACGCGCCGCCGCGCCTGCGCGCGCCCCGGGGAGGGGGGAGGGTGCAACAAGGAGAGGAATCCGCGAGCGGTCGATCCGGATCCGCGAGGTGCTGCTGGAAGCGCGAGCGAGAGGAGGATCTTGATGTTCACGGAGCGTTGTTGTCCCCCTTCGGTTCCAGGGCTGTGCACGGCGGCCCCGCAGCAGGAGCGCGGCGACTGGCAGCGGCGGCGGCAACAGCGGCAGCAGCGGCAGCAGTGGCAGCAGCCCACCGAGGACGACGACCTGGCGGGGGTGCCGGCGCCGCAGCCCGGGCGCCAGGACGTGTCGTGGCCCGGCCAGGACCTGGACCAACAGCAGCAGCCGTGGCAGCAACAGCAGCAGCAGCAGCAGCAGCAGGCGTCGACCCCGGCGCCCGCCGAGGGCACCCTGATCGTGCTGCCCGCGAACTGCCGCTGCCAGGCCATCGAGAACTACAACCCCGTGTGCGGGTCGGACGGCAACACGTACGCCAACAGGCAGAAGCTCGAGTGCTTCGCCATGTGCGGCTCCAGTGAGTACCGTTTATTTGCCTCGGCTATCTCACCATATACCACCGTTCCTGGGTGGGGGAGTTTTTTCACGGACCGGTATTTTTGAACTCTGAGTTTGTAAACGTGTGTCTTGGGGGGGG